GGGTCCCAAGCGGCGCGGGGAACGTGAGTTTTCACGTCCAACACTCAGAAGCTCAGGAGACGGGTCCGCGTGATCGCTGTGTCAAAGACGCCGATGACCCACGAGTGATGAGTGTCTGCATCATAGCGGGGAAGACCAAATGAGAGCGAGCGAGGTCACCAATCAGCGGCGGGGAGTGGCTGACGAGGTAGATTAGGGAGTCGACAGTGCGTGGAGTAATGTGCTCCGCGTTGAGGTCCTTGACTTGTAGTTGAGATGCGTGGCCAATCCCGGACGTAGTCTCATTGATGGCAGCAAGGTGAGGTTGAAGAGCAAAGGATTCATCCCGAGAAAGAATCCGCTGATAGCCTTGACTCTGCCAGTCCTGGATTGTCCAGGTGTCGTAGTTGTACCACAGTGCCACTGGTCATGTGGATGGTGCCAATCGTGCCCATGGAGCTGTTGTCCGTCCGGCGGGACCGGTTCCCAGTGTGGTGAGGTAGCGTTGGGATGTCGTCGCCTCGGTGCCATAGGACTGCATCACAAGGGTAGAAGATCTTGACCCACTCAGGACCGCCCCAACGGCGGGTGCTCTAACCACGGTGCAGGATCCTGGTTACCTCCAAGATCGAGTGCATGATGTTCAACATCCATGAGTACGAAAGGTATGGGGCAGGAACAACTCCCAACTTCCAAGTTGAATCTGAACCACTCAGCGAGCAAAGTACAAATCAAACACAATGGCCATGACGCACAACCAACAAGATCACAAACAATGCGTTCGAACTTTTGTTCGACAATCTCCAGCTTGTTGTTAGGCCACGCCGTCATCAAAGATGGACTGCCCGGGGGGTCGAACATTGCTTGAGCGACGTCTTAGTTCATAGGGTGCTGATGCCAATGGTTGGGAAGTCGGATGAGTCAATGAGCTAGTTGTTGCAGTCGATGAGGAGCTTCTTGTTCATTGCGCGTGCAGCTGGCGATCTGCGACCGAACAATGTCCTGGATGCGCGTGAGGTCATCGAAGGAGAAGGTTGCCGCATCACGCCGAAAAGAGATGCGTGGTGATCTTGGAACGGTTCCCCACGCTGCGAAGCGGATCAAGAGGTGGTAGTTCCGGATGGGCGTGATGAACTAAGGGCGGCTCAAGCTCAGGTTCAGGAGGTGCGACGCGGCGGAAACCTTCAGTGGTCCAATCACGCTTGTGCCACGAAGACACCGAAATGGAGGTTCCATCAATTCCCCGTAAATGAAGGAAGCATGCGGGTCCTCATTAATGTCACCATGGAGCCACGGTCCAGGATGGAAGACTTTGACCCACTGTGCGTCAGGTTGTTGAGGATCCGGACACCATTCAAGCCACGGCGTGGCTGGATGCTAAAAGGAAGAAAGGAGGTCCGGTGCTAACAGCTGCTCAATGTGCCTGTCAAGAAAGGTTTCATTGTCAATCAAGCGTAACAGATACAAGACAATTAACAACGAGCGCGGCGTGAAATTACAATCGCAAATAGACGGCCACGCAAACTGAACTGATTTCAATGCATTGATCGTCATCAAAGGCGGACTCAGCTGTTCCAGTAAAACTCAGAGTCAGGTAGGCCTGGTTGCGAAGTTGCCGCAAAGGTAGGAGGGGATGGACTTCTCCACGCTCTGTTTGCTGCAGATGAGGCCGACGAAGAAGATGCTGAAGAGGATCCATGCGTCGGTGGCATCAGAGAAGGAAGTGTGTGTCTGAAGGTGGGATGGCCAAGTTTCTGCCATCCCCTTGTATTCCAGTCACGGTTGCCATGTGTAGGACGTGATATAGGAGACGGGCTGGGAAAGTGCAGCAAGGGTTGTTCCGCCAGTACTGTCACGCATGAAGCACACTTCGAATTCATCTAATTTTCTCCACTCGCGATATGTATTGTGCAGAACCAGTGGTGGGCCAGTGGTGTGAGCGACCAGGGGATTCCAAGGTCGAGGTGTGTACACACGGATCCATTCTTGTGGGTTATCATCAACAAGTCCAGGAGAAATGTCGTATTCGAAATATCTGGGTACAATCCATCGACCGTTCGAAGTCGAATTCCACATGAAGCCCGAGAAGTAAACACAGCAAGAGACTCCAGTGGTACGGAATCTGGCGTGAAGCAACGGGCAAACATGGACAAGTGAAGCATGGTCAAAGCAACTACATGTCATTACCCGCAGAAGATCCGAACTGCCTGCTTTTCAACCAAGTGAGATCATTGGAGGTCAGCGGGCCCGCTCAGAATGGTCAATGTTGTCGATGAGCCCAACACCAGCTTCTCGACGCACGCATGGGGACAGGCACATCTTCCCATTCAGCAGTCTAGTGTGGCAATAATGTGCACAGCGATATGTTCTGGGACTTGGCGAGCGAGATCTTCGGGACATAAAGAGTGTGAATGGTCGTCGTGAGTGAGGCTGCTTCGGGGCAGTGGTAGGGCTCCTCCAATGTCGAAATTTGCACGTGTTTGTGTTGGTTCGTGGTCGATGTGACGATGAGAAGCTTCTGGGTTCACGTAGACGAGGTGATGTCGAGCTTGTGCCTAGTTCTTCCGGATCTGGACTGGTGCGCCGCAGTGACGGTCGAGGTAGATTATGTGGAGGATGCGTGAGAGGTCAGAGGTGGTGGACGCAATCTGCGCACTTGAGGAAGAAAATCAGGGTGTAGCCACGCTGGGGGACAGTGCTGTCGGGATGTGTGAATCCCTCCTGCGGAAGGCGCCTGCAAAACCAAAAGCGCGCTGCGGATGGCTGGCTGACCCAAGACCCACCAAACACCACAACACTAACTTTGAAAGCGTTCCACACCAACTGCGGGTGGGAGGTTCCGACCAATTTCTGGATGTTGGAGTCTGACTAAGCCTGTAGCCCAAGCCAAGAAATGCTGGTGAGCTTGCCGAGCACTCCTTGAGATTTGGTGAAAAGCCCCGCGTGTGTTTGTTTTGACATTTTTTGTCGTAAAAAGTGTGTTATAGGTTGACAGAGGCGGTTCTGCATAAACACCTGTTTTCACATTTTGGGTCCAAACGGGCTCAAAACCCCGGACAAACCCCCGGACAAACCCCGGGACAACCCTCCGGACAGCTTTGAGGGCACAAAATCGGCGGGACAACTCCCCGGACAAACTCCCGGACAACCCTCTGGACAGCTTTGAGGGCACAAAAACCCGGGACAAACCCCCGGACAAACCCCCGAACAACCCTCCGGACAGCTTTGAGGGCCCAAAACCCCGGGACAAACCCCCGGACAAACCCCCGGACAAAAAGAATACAAAAACAAAAAAGAAGAATAAGCGGACAAATGCAAACAAAAAAAAAAAAAACCGAAAAAAAACCAAAAAAAAAAACATAAAAAATAAAAATACAAAAACAAAAAAAAAATAAAAAACAAAAAAAAAAAAAAGAAAAGACAAAAACCAGCAAAAAAAATACAACAAAACAAAAAAAAAAAAAAAACAAATAAAATTAAAACGATAAAAAAAAAAAAAAAAGAACCAAAACACAAAAAAAAGAAAAAACAAAAAAAAAAAACCAAATAACAAAAAAACAAAAAAAAAAACAAAAAAAATTCCTCCGGACAGCCTTGGAGGGCCCCAAAAAAAACCGCGGGACAAACGGCCTCCGGGCGGAAAAAAAAAGGTCTTCGGGACAGTGTTGGAAACCACTCGGAAACCACTCGGAAACCACTCGGAAACCACTCGGAAACCACTCGGAAACCACTCGGAACCCGCTCAAAACCACTCGGAAACCACTCGGAGGAAAGTATTCTCGCGGGAGGGGGGGTTTGCAGCATAAATCTCGGCAAAGTGCGCGGACAACCCTCCGGACAACCTTCCGGACAACCCCCCGGACAACTTGCCGGACAGTTGTTTGTCCAGCAGTTTGTCCCGCACTTTGTCCGGCACTTTGTCCCGCACTTTGTCCCGCACTCTGTCCCGCATATCGAGGGGGGTGTTTATGCAGAAGGGCATTCGTCAAGTTATAGCTTAAAATTACAGTTTAGTCAAAGTTTATAAAAAGTGTATACTGTTTAATCATACTAAAATTGTATAATATGAATAAGCCAAAATCAACACATATGTTCTCTAAAAAAAATACATGTAATATGTTCTATAGTAATGATTTCGTGTCGTTTCATAGTCTGTTTGATTTCTTCAACTGCTTGTTCAATATGGAATTGTAATGACGCTGTACTTGTTATGTTATTCTGTTTAGTTGCTGAATAATACCGACTTCTACAAACACTATTAGTATACAATTTTTGCACAAACTTCTATTCCATCCTTTATTCATCATCATACTTCATTACTCTTAATAGTTCTTTTGGTGGTTTCAAGGCATATAAAAGCGCTTTCTCAAATTCAATCATGTATTACGAATCTCAGCATAATATGTTTTGACTTTCTCCTACTTGTTCAGTGTAAATAGACGGCTTCCATTTCCTTTGTAAGACCCTTAACGCATCACACTGTTTCAGTTTTTGCCACCCTTCATCACTAAACGTACAAAAAGTGATGTTTAACACTGTACCCTCAGGTAAGTTAGCCCAGTTCTCAACCATAAAATTATTCTCAGACATTTTACCCTCACGCATTTTTCTCTTAGTATATAAGGTGTTTTTTCTCTAAGTAGTTTTTCGGGTGAGGGTTGCTGGTCGGCTGGTCTGGGTTTCAGGTTTAATTTAAATGTCTAAACCTTCTTGTTAGATTATAACACAATGTCTAATCATATTATAATTAAATGCTATGAATAGACTAAGTCACTCATGCTTTCCATCTATCTATTCCATCCCACCAGTGTTCAATAACTCGCGTCTGTCCATCTATTAGGCTGTCTTCTTTGCTTAGCTTCCGTATCGCCCCTGATAGTATATAGTTGTTAATAATCATTGCTTCAAACTTTCCATCTCGGTTTAACTTTTTACCACACTCTTTTATGATGTCTTCTTCTATTAGGTTTTCATACAGTGCTGCGTGTGCTGTGCTGCGAGTGCGCTCGTGTTTGGCAAAGGTCACGCCCGGCGATGACCCATCAGTTGGAAACTCAGGTTTCAAGGTTGCTATTTGATGAGCACAAGGGATCAAAGAGTGAGGCGCGCGCAATCGAACGTGCTTCCTCTCAGAGGCGCGGCCTGTGTTCCAAAGCCGACATCCCCGGAGATGCTTTTCAGCGAGGTTGGATGAATGGTGCGAGTTCCGGCCTGAGCAGCCGTTGATGAGCAGGTTGTTGGCGCTTTCGTTAGGCAAAGATGTGGAGAGGCCAATGCCCCAGCTTTCGATACCATTTTGAAGTTTGTTTAAGAGTTTGTGATGCTTGAAGAGCTCCCGACTGAGCAGGTGAACCTGCTCAGCTTGGTAGAAGCATTTCACCTTGCTGGCCAACTTGAGGAGAAGTATGGCTTCGGCAGAGTTACAATACATGGAGAGCCTTGAGAAGCCGGTAAAGCATCCTGTACCGAGTCCAGCTATACCTCCAACAATGAAGTGGTGCCCGTGCACCAAACCTGCGGGCGGGCGGGCGTGCTGTTCTGGTAGTGTGTGTGTGTGTGTGCTGGTGTGTGCGCTCTTGCACGTGTGTGCAATTGTATTTGCGCGCGGGTGCGCTGGTGGGTGGGTGGGTGGTGCGCGCGCATCTTTGCTTGCTTGTTTGTTTGTTTGTTTGTTTGTTTGTTTGTTTGTTTGTTTGTTTGTTTGTTGAGCGTGAGCATGAGCATGAGCGTGTGCGAGCGTGCGTGGGTGGGGTTGGTGAGTGAGTGAGTGAGTGAGTGAGTGAGTGAGTGAGTGAGTGAGTGAGTGAGTGAGTGAGTGAGTGAGTGAGTGAGTGAGTGAGTGAGTGAGTAGTGAGTGAGTGAGTGAGTGAGTGAGTGAGTGAGTGAGTGAGTGAGTGAGTGAGTGAGTGAGTGAGTGAGTGAGTGAGTGAGTGAGTGAGTGAGTGAGTGAGTGTGTGTGTGTGTGTGTGTTTTTTTTCGTGCGCCCACATGCGTGCGTGGGCGTGAGAGTGTTTGTATGCGTACATGTGTGGACCTGCTTTGGTCTTGCATAGTTTAATCAGTGCCTGCAAGCTCATTTCCGCATGTTGCAGGCGTTTAGCATCAGGCTGTTGTGATTGGCTTTGGACATGTTCTCGATGCAAAATAATTATTTCGCATCCGCCGTGCGAAATCTGGAGTGCAGGAAATGAAATGAGCCAATGAAGCAAGCAGAAGAGCGTGCCTTGTGGAGGAGACATTCATAGATGCAGCGCGACGTGCCCTACTGCGGCATGCCAGCGTGAGAGACGAGCCGGGCATGGAGGATCCTGTGACATAATCTGACATCCTTGCATGACCTGGTGCACTCCGACAAAAAGCCCAGCCTGCAGGATCCTTCCGTGCCACAGGAGCTCCAGATCCTCCCGTCGGAGCTTTGCCCCCAGATCCATTTAAGCCGAGACCTCGAGTTCCTTGCGTCAGGTTGCAGTCCAACGCAGTGACTGAGCTTGCAGCTGAGCAGCTGAGCGGCTGAGCGGCTGAGCGGCTGAGTGGGTCTCGTGATACGCACTTCACATTGGCCAAGGCCCAGGGTCCTTGCTCGTGTGCCAGGGCTTTTCGTGCGGCCGCCTACACTCGACTTGAGTCATCGAGTCACAGACGCAGAGGTGCTGTGGAAACCGCCTGGATGGTCGGCAGCCACGGTCGACCAGGCCGTGGGGCCTGCAGCTCAGAGCCTTTTTCTGTGTCAGATTCCATTTGCCGCACGGTGCTGGGACTTCGCATTCTGAGTGTTGGTGTTGGTCGGGTTTCTGCGCTTTGCTTTTGAGGTTGTGAGATGGTTTGACGTTCAGTTTGGTTTGATTTCAGGCCTTTCCGCACAACTTGTTGCCAAGGTCTGCCCAACCCCTGGCTTTGAAGGATTGGTTGCAAGAGCACTTTGGGCTCGGGGCCTCAACGAAGCCTCATGCCCATCCATGCCCACTCGCCAATACTCGCCATGTATGAAAATGCACTTTGCATCACTTTGTCCAAGGCACCTTCCCATAGTTTGCGATGAAGGCTGGATGACCAGCTAGACTCAGCTAGACGTCATTGGGAAACACAGGAGTTACCTTTGGCATGGTCCATCGACTCGACCGCCAGAACCTTAGATATCTTGGTCGGGGAGAACCGGGTCGTCATTGCATGTCATTGCAAAGGTTTTACATCGGGCGCATTGTTGTGGGCACCTTGCTTGGTGCTCAGCGTGCGCATCAATGCTTTGTTACTTCAGCTTGAATTGGAAGGTTACAGGGGTTTGTATGAAGCGCGGCTTCAGTTCCCGGCTCAGGGTGAGTCATTTTGTGCCAAATCACGCAGCATCCACGGTCAGATTGCAAGGTTCTCAGCAAGGAAGGCGAACTGATGAATCGAGTGTCGATTCCCGGGGGGGGGGCAGGGCGGCCCACAAATTCCTCCATCCGTGGGCAAGCATTCGACATCTCGCAGGTCTGCAAAGAATATCTTTGCCTTGTACGAGGTTGGCCCAACAGCAGCGGAATATAGCGGAATTCTCAAAATTTGGACCGCGCCCACAGGACACTTGAAGAATGAGCTCCCATTTATGATCAAGGCGAGAAATAGTAAAGATGTTCAGAAAGTGTTGTGGACGCAACCCAGGCACCCATCTTGGAGACCGAGCGGAAACCTCAATGATTCAGTGTTTGCAGTCCTTGCGTTTGTGGACCTGGCCGAGGTCAGAGATGGGCATGGCAAGAAGTATCGTGTCCGAATTGGGCAAAACGGCAATGACAGAGGTGCTGATCCAGCACAAAATGATTATTGACTGATATTGCCCAAAGATGCATCAGTTTTTTGCATCAGAACAACGATACACATGCACATGCAATGCAATCGATGGAGGTGATGGAGGGCGTGAACTTTGTTGATGTGGAAGGTCAACACATGAGCATGCTGAAGGCACGCTGGAGTCAGTAGAATCACGGGTGCACGTTCATTTTGCAGGTACGCATCCACACAGGCTGGTTGTCGCAAGAGTACCAGTCCTTTTGCAAGACATACCAGTGCATCGAAGGACGCACACACCAAATCCGATGCCATTTGAGCCATGAGGCCGCCAGTTTGTTGGAAGCGCTCGGTTGTTCCTCGCGGCGACATCAGGGGCATCCGCTGGTTGGCGACCCTGTTTATGGCGGTCCAACGCCGCCCTGGTGCAGCAGGCATTGCACGGTTTGCTAGGATTTGGCCAAATCTTGGAATGTTCAGGCATTGGCTGCATGTGAGTTCCTCAGGCAGAAATGCCACGGTTTTTGCGTGCACTGCCAACCCAGGCTTGGAAGTTGAGTCTCGTAATGAGTTCTGGCCAAGTGGAGGTGAAGGTGCGCTTGTAAGCATGATCGTGTGACAATACAAATTCTAGATGGTCGCGTACTCTCGACATAGTTTGTATGACGCCCATTTTTGAGAGGTACCTTTGCCATCAGATTTGCGGGGAACGCTGGAAAGGCGTTATATTTTTTAGGCATGCGACATGCAGTGCGTTGTTGGTGATATCGTACATTTTTCGAGTGATTTGGCATTGCAGGCTACGTCCGGCCCAAGAAAATGAGGCGCAAAGGCTGGGTGCGCAATTCCTAAAAGATCTAACCACATATCCATTTTCGTCCACAATTCCCGACCAGGCTTAGCACTTGGGGTTTGTGAGTGCAAGAATGTCTGCTTTGCATCGATTCCGCCAAGCGATCGGCAAAATTAAACGAATTTGCACGTTGGAAGACTCTGAATTCGCCATGAGATCGTTTTGTGGCTTTGGCGTATTACCAAACATGATCAAGGTCTATGGAATCAGGCAGCGGATTGTAAAGTGCAAATCTGCATTGAAGGTTGCATACCAACCACCGCCGATGTTCCATTGGAGCAGAAATAAAGAGAATAGGAGAGTGATTTGAGTTTGCATTTGTTAGTTGAAAAGCCACGGATGATCAAGATGGACATCATTTGGTTGATATAAGCTGGTTCAATCCTAGGAACCGTTCTGTGGGATTTTGCTTCAAGTGTGTTTGCTTTTCTTAACATTGCCCACTGACCTTGCCACATAATTCGGCAACACAAATTGTATTCTTCACAACTTGGTTGTGTGATGAAAGTGGGGGTAGCTAATTGTGTTTTGCATCTTGGTGACATGTTACGTGTTAGTGCAGAGCAATAGATCGGTTTGCAAGGTATTTCATGCCATTTCATGCGACGTGTATTTTTTGCACGTGGCTCCAGAAGCTTGTGCAGCAAAGCACTGCCGGGGGGAGCAATGCTGGTCTTCTGCTCCCAGCTGGAGGCTGGGCTTCAGCTGAGCATGGCAACGGCGAAAGGAAACTGTTTGCCATATTGGGGCAACAGAAACTGTTTGCGTGCTTACCAATCGACATCAGAAGCTTCCAAAGCACGCGGAAAACAAACTCAGCGGCAGGCCGGCACCAGCCTGGGCCGATGATACCGCCCCGAGGCCGGCAAGCAGCAAGCGCTTTTCTTGGGATGCTGAGCCGAGGTTCGCTCCGCTATGGTGACGGGAGCGACTTCAAAAATGGTCTCAGGAGCTCCGAAATGGGCCGTCGGGCACGCGTCACTCAGAGCCCAGAGCCCCACAGAGTCCCACAGAGTCCCACAGAGTCCCACAGAGTCCAGAGTCCCATGAAAGGAGATCTGTCGGCCTTGATTTGGGGCCGCAGCCTTACATGCATGGAGGTGGATTGAGACAGATCCATGCTGAAGGCGGCGGCTTCTGGTGGTTCTCAAGTCACAGACGTAAACCCGGCCTGGAAAGAACTGCTCAGTTTGTCGTGCTGAAGCGACTAGGCTAGTTTTGCGCTTGGCAGGGCTGATGAGAAACCACAAGAGCAGCACTCAGTTGCTCACAGCACCTCACCACGGCTGTCAAACATCAATCGCAGGCGATCAGGGTGGTAGACCATGGAGAACAGCAAAAGGAGGCAGGCTGATGGAATGATTCAGTCAAGCTGTACGCATTGCAGGCATTGAGGCGTCTGTTTGATGCCCAAGTGTTACTCCAATCTTACGAGGCCCATGCGCATTGGACATCACCAGTGTGAGTTTGTGTGTTTTGGTTTGTGTTGCTGGCTTCCCAGGAACAGCTCGCAGCCAGGGATGGGCAGCTGCAAAAAGTTATGGTCTTTGTGAAGAAGGACCTTTGAGCTAGGAAGATCATGGGGACAAAAATTCAATCGCGCAGGCTATTCGTTCCAATGGCGACTTGCGAGATCCAGCGCTCATCCAGTAGTGCCCTCAAAACGAGCATTTCGTGTGTTTTTTGGGCCTGCGAGTTGCCTCAACCTGACGGTTCGGCAGGGCCTTGGGCTTGAGCGAAGCGGAACTTCAGGCGCTGTCGGGTGTCGCGCAAGTTTCGCTTCCGGCGGTCGCTTAGCGGCTTCATGAGAGTTGCACGTGGGAAAGGAAGAAGGCATCACCGCCACGGAATCGAGGCCTGCCGGCAAGAAACTTGAGGCCGGGGTTCGCGGAAATCCGTATGCCTTTGGCATTGCTTCAGGCTATGGCGGATAAGAGTTTCGAGCAGCTAAAGTGGGAGGAGCAGCAGGACCGGGAGAGGAAGGCAAAGGAGATGGAGGCAAGTTGCATGTGAAGTCTTTGAAGTGCACAATTTCACTGTTGCCAGGCCACTGGCGGGCTGGGACAAGTCTTAGAACCTCCCAGTGCCTGGTTTGCACATATGGTTGACGTATGTCGTCCTGCGTGTCACGGCCTTGGAGCCTTGCAGGCGACCTGCAGTGGTTCAAGGTCCCGTATTGGCTGAAGTCGGACGAAGAAACCAGGCCAGATTCGCATGGATTGATTTGTGGTTCGCAAAGCTTTAAAGCACTCGATCAGGGCCGTCATCCACAATATCAAGCAGCACTTCGTTGACGAAATGAATGCCAAGGTTGTTGAGCGTTTTTGTTTGCGAATGTCGATTCTTCGCGGTCAGGGGCACTTTGACCACAATTCCTTCCAGGAACATTTGTGGCAGGCGCGCTTTCGGCAGTTGATGTTTGTCGTTGCATGCTTTCCCATGACCAGAGCAAACCGAGTCAGAGTTGTGCCTCAGTGTGGTCTTCAAATTGCTCTACATTGGGCGGGCTCTCCAAACGAGGAGCTGATCAAACAAGCTGAGGCCAGCAAAGCACTGGTTTTCGCAAAGGTTGCATATGAGGAATGCAAGACGCAACATTCCACATTCGTCCAGATCGTGCAACTGCCGCACCCCTCGCTGTTTTCATTTGCTTCCTTCTTGATGTTGCTCAGGCTGCTGAGCAGAAGGCAAGGGCTGTCCAGCGCCAATCGCTTCAGGCAGGTCTGCAGTTGTTTTGTTAATGTTGCTTGGACCGCTGGCAACAAGCCGTTTGCAAAGGAGACCTCCATGCTTCGGCAACACATCAAGCGAGTAGAGAGGAAGTGCGCTGGAATGGACAACACATGCATTAAATACAGGTCATCCGTCTGCAACTTCAGGTACAAAGAGCTACAAGGCAACGTTGCAAAAATGCAGAAGGCAATGTCCACAATGGCGAGCCAGCTCAAAGAGGCGCCTTGGCTTCCAAGCGCATTGCTCGCCTTGTCGAGTAGTTCGGTTTCACCATGGGTTTCCGAGAACCGCGTCTCGGGTTATCTGATGCAAGAAGGCCCGAGACACGGCGGCGATGTTTGGCGTGGAGCTGCCGCACCCAGAAGGGGAGGGCCATGGTGGCCATGGTCGCAGATCCTCCGCGGTCCGCCCCCTGCTGTCAGGTCCTTGTCCTTGTCCTTGGCTCCTGTCAGCTGTTCAGCTTCACTCGCGCGCTCATGGCTCCTGTTTCATGAAAACAGTATTTGTGCAGTTGGCTCTAGCTTCAAATATTTGCGTGATCCTAGTGTTGAAACCAATGGTACAAGCAGAAATACAGTTCTGGTCAAAAATCAGTAGTGGGCCATGTGGTGTTCAACAGTTTGTTCTGAAATGACCAACTCGCAACAGACATCGCAACTTTCACTTGGGCAATGGATTGACTTCCTCGGTCAAGCAAATCCTGCCGGTGACCAAGTGACTGGAAACTGTTCGTTTGCTTGTCCGCTTCATTTGCGTGCAAGGTGCGGGATGAGTGAGGAGGTCCTTGGAACTTACCCTCACTATGTTCGCAGATGCCAACTGGGAGGACAGCCATCCACCTACCTATGTGCGAGTAAAATTCCTTGGTGAAGGCACGCCATGGCATTCTAGCTGGATGCTCTCCACTGACTATCAGCACCTTCAGGCTACCAATGCGCGAAGAAAGTCCCTCTGAGGGGCACCTTCAAGGATGTCAAGGTCAGGAGCCTTGAGGCGCTCTTCATTTCTGAAAACACGGAAAGGTCATTGAAGAACATGTGCTTTTTCAGGAACTGCAGAATGAAGTGGAGCAATGGCTGGGTACCAGCGGCGGCTGGATGCTGGGAACAGCTGCCAACTGGGAGTTGAAGGAGGAGGCCCTGCAGAGGCCAAGTTCCTCCAGGTGCCAAGCGACAGCAAGGACATACCTGTCAAGGGCATGTCACAGGTGTGTCAAGCACGCCCTTTTCTCGGCGAATGGGCATGTCCTTCAGGTGCCCTTTGGTCGTGCACGTTTGGAACAGTCAGGACTGGATTTGTTATGTCTACTCTGTTGCTAGACTTGTGCTGAATCCTTTGGTCAGAAGATGCTTCTTGACGAGCTGGCAGCGCTTGGTGCCAAAATAAGATCCTTCGAATCGGATACTCGGAATGCAAGCAAGACAAGGGAAGTCACACGCTGTCATGATCATTATTTTGCTGACGCTGGCTTGACTCCACTGCCCTCCCTCATCATCGCCAAACATTAGATTTTGCAGTCAATTATCACGATGACATTTATGGCCCAGAGGTTTCATGAGTCAGATGACTTGCAACATGTTGCTGTACAATCAATTCAATGCCCAAGCATGACATGATCACATGTCGCTTTGGCTCAAGTGCTGAAAAGAGCGCGTTGCTCGCGCTTCCCACAAGGTTAAGGGAGAGGTCGCAGTCACGGAGGGGTTCGTTCCTTTTAAGGCCCCGGGTTCCCCCGTTGTTGACAAAACTGTGTTTCCCTCTCCTTTGAGTGGTTATCAGCCGTAACGCTTTTCGGGTAAACAAACCCCTCCGTGACTGCGACCGTTTGGTCGCACATGGAAGCCGGCCCTCACCGCGGCACTCGCGGTGGGAAAGGGCCGCGTGCCCGTCTATTCAACACTCTGCAACAGATCGTCGTTGACGAGTACAAGCGGCAGGACAGGCGATTCCGGTGGGTCAGGTTTGCAGACGCCTCGAAGCAACAGATCGAGGCGCTCTTTTCCTGGCGTGAGTCATTGGATAGTTGGCACCTGTGGGATTTTGACCAAGAAGCCTTCGAAGTGATCCAGGCCGCGGACAACGCTTATCAGCAGCGTCTCGCATCGGTTGAAACCGCAGGTGTGGTCTTGCCGCAAGGTGTGCAATCTCAGGATAAAGCCGCAGCCTCTGGCGCGGCGGAAGCAGCGAGCAGTGCAGCGGACTGGCTACGCCCTCCGACGCCTCCTTCAGCTTCATCCTGGCTACAAGATTCGCGCACTCCATTGCCTCGCATCCGACCATCAGCAGAGGAAAGACAAGTGTTGCGGGGCGCCGCCAAGACAGCGCTTCGCGG